GCAGATGCAGAACTTGCCAACAATGCTAACAGTTCTATTGAACAGTGCTAGTCTAGGCTATAACAGAATAATTAAGAATGAAGAATGAATATACTGCCTGCATTTCAATCCCAACTTTGACCCTCACTAGTGGAGTAAACTTGGGGAACTTACTCTTTTTGCCTACATTAGTTTCCTCATCTGTAAAATGAGGATAATAGTAATTAATTCCTTCTCCATAACATTGCTGTGAGACTTAGATGATTTACATGTAAAGTGCCCCAAAAAACTGCCTAGCACATGAAAGTGCTCCATAAGTATTCAGTTCATTTCAGCTCAGTCGCCGAGTCGTGTCCGACTCTTTGTGACCCCATGAACCACAGCACGCCAGGCCTCCCTGTCCATCACCAACTCCCAGAGTTTACTCAAACTCATGTCCATTGTGTCAATGATGTCATCCAACCATCTCATCGTCTGTCGTCCCCTTCTCCTCCTGCCCTCAATCTTTCCCAGCATCAGGGTCTTTTCAAATAAGTCAGCTCTCCACATCAGGTGGCCAAAGTATTGGCATTTCAGCTTCAATATAGGTGTTAAAAATTGTTTTAAAGGATCAGTCACATTTGTTTATTTTTAATTGATTCTATTCACTCATTTTATTTTTGGCTGCACTAGGTCTCCGTCGCTGTGTGCAGGCTTCCTCTGGTTGCTGAGAGCAGGGTCTACTCTTTGCCGAGGTGTGTGGGCTTCCCACTGAGGTGGTTCCTCTTATTGTGGAGCAAGGGCTCCGCAGTTGCTGCACACCGGCGCAGTTGCCTGGCGACACGTGGAATCCTCCCGAACCCACTGGCAGGTCAGGGAAGTCCACGTGTATTCTTGAAATTATTCTCATAGTCTCTACCTCATCTCCCGTTTTTGTTAACCTGCTTCAATCAGGCTTTGTCCACCATTGCAAGGTTTGTCAAGGTTTGCCAAATTCCTCCATCATGTGAAATCCAATGGTCAACTCCCAATCTTCACCTTATCTGAATTACCAGGAGCACTTGACAGAGATGATTGTCTTCCTTAAAATATTTCCTTCCTTTGGTTTCTAAGATACCATATTCTTCTTTTTCATTTTCTTTAATGGCTACTCTCTCTTTAGTTTCCTTTAATGGAGTCTCTTCCTGACTTCTAAATGTTGGTATATAACATGGCTCTGTTTTTATTATAGTTTTCTTCTTGATTCAAATTACACTAAGTAATATTATCTAGTGCCACAGCTTTAAATATTACCTGCTGATTACTCCCAAATTACATGTTTAGCTTGACCTACTAGACTACAGTTGCATATCTAATTAAACATAACTGTACTTAGATGTTTAATGGGCATCTCAAAATCAACATGTCTAAAATAGAATTCCTGATTCCCCATATGAGGCTGAATTTTCTACTGATAGCTTACATCTGCAAAGTGATTTTTAAGTGCTGAAAGCATTTTCTTATACATTTAAGAAAATGATCTTATAAAAACCCTGTTAGGACAGCAGGTGTTAATTCCATATGTCAGATGAACATTCCATGACTCAGATATGTTGGGTAGGTTTTTTTAAGAGGCCATATTTGATATCTTATATAACTCAGGGTAAGCAATAGCATCCAAGTCTCTTTATTCACTCCATGCACTTTCTACAAGGTTGTGATGTTTAACAAGATATATTTAAGTTTTAAAAATGGCGAGTTTCCATTTAGCAGTCAAAGATACAAAATAGCATGGGGATAGAAGAGAGATATGACTTAGCTACTATGTGTATTAACCAACATATCTTTATAAATGGTTTCCCCTTCACCAATTATTAGTTATGTATGATTACTGATATAATTAGAATAATTTCTTTAGAAAGATACTATTTTGCTGAGCTTTCTACCCTTCAGAAGTCAAGCAAGCAGTCTTCATCTGGTCTTGAAAATTTATACTGGTAAAATGATATTTACTTTTATGATCATAAATATCATTTTAAGAAGCTGAAGACATTATGTATAATATATCATTCATTAAGTGATAACTCTACAACTTAAGTACATGCAGATTTCTACGCAGAGGCCAGGAAAATCAAAACAAAGGATCTAACGTAAGATCCAGCATCACAAATCCATCCATGTTTTAGATAATGCTATCATATGATCAAAGTTTAGGTAATAAATTTGAAGATTTCAGTTTTAAACACTGTTAGAGCTTACTACTGCATTTTTAAAGAAAAGAAAATACAAAATCTTACCTGAAACAGATACACATAAATACAGAATTTAGAAACCCAATGAAAATTTGGAGTTCAATAATTATGAAACTATCTCTGTTGGCTATTCTACAGTTAAACTTGGGCTTTAAAGTGAGAGATACTCTGAATTCTATTGTCAATACAGGTCAAAGCTATGCAGTGTGTAAACAGGAATAATTACACATTTTAAGACGCTAAAAATTTTAACCATTATAATGTCACTGAATACCAATGAAGACAATAACAAAAAGAAACACATTATTTTTTGCTATGCTATATATGTAAGAAGGCTATAACAAGGAAAAACTACATTTTTAAAATCTGCCAATATCACAGTGTTTCTGAAGATAAAAACCAAATCAGTGTATGGTCAGCAGAGCTCTATCATTAAATAAAAATACTGTCAAGGAAAGATATATAGGATATTAATGCCAAAACTACTAAGAATGAAATTGATCATTGAGAAATACTGACCATTTTCTTCTTCAAATCTTCTACATTCTTAGTTACTGTGACACTGCTCTCATAGTATTTGTTCTTTCTTCATGATAACATCTCCTTGGTCTTCACTGGCTCCTCTTCCTCTGTCCAATTCTAAAAGATTAATCTTCCACAAAGTATTGTCTTCATCTACTGCTCTTTTTTTTTTTTTAATCTACTGCTCTTTTATCTGTGGTGTTCTTTTTGGGCAATCTCACCCATGTTCATGGTTTCAAGCAACCTCTAAAATTGATAACTCCCAGATTTATATCTCTGGTTCTGACATGAGCCTTAGAAGTGTGTATTTAAATATGTTCTAGACATTTCTACTTGGATATTACATAGATATCTCAGATTCAAAGTGTCCTAAACTGAAGGACTCACCCTTCTTTCCCCAATCTACTCCTTTTATGCTTCTAATATCCATTAATAGCACAACAACCATTCATCCATGGATGCAAGCCAGAAACATGAGGATCACCTTAGAATCTTCTCTCCTTCACCTCCCCACATCAAACCCATCACTAAATTGTGTGGCGGACTGGCCTCAAGGCATGTGGGATCTTAGTTCCTTGACCAGGGATCAACACTGCACATTCTGTAAGGGAAGACAGTCTTAACCACTGGGCCACAGGGAAGTCCCTGACATAGGATCTTGAAGTAATCTGTTTGAGTATATATCTTCTACTAGAGTATAAGCAACTCAGGTTATAAATGATTTCTGACTCATTTGTGTTCTCGATTTTCCTGGCACACAAGTGTTCAATATTTATCCAAAACCCCCAAATGAACAGAATTAATTATTTAGTTTAACACCACATATTCTCTAACTTGTAGTCTTATTAGTGTCTATTTTAGGTTCTTCATTTAAAAAAATTAATAGACTTTATTTTTAGAGCAGTTTTAGGTTTACAAATGTAAGTTTTAAATAGAAAAATGCAATAAAGTTCTAACTGCTAGAGAAAAAAACCTCTCAACTTCAAAAAGCCAACATCATTTTAGCACAACACAATTAAATATGTATGTATAAATATTAGCAATTAAAAAAATCATTTAGATATGTTCTCTATGTCCATACATTAAATCCCTAATTCTATATTAAAACACAAAATAACATTTAAAAACACTAAAAATTAAACTCTAAATTAATATTAAACATAAATTAAAAATTAAACATTAAAAAAAAACCCTCTAACATAATCACAGTAAATATAGTAAGTTACAACCAGGATATAGGAAAGCCATCAAAGTCTTATTTCAATATAATATTATTATATAAGGCTCAAATTTGCAGAATCACTGGTATAGTTTGTAAAAATAAGATTAGGCGGGTCCAGGAACTAACATACCCTTAAATTCTTTTGTGTTGTAGATTTATGCCCTGACTTCTCTGTACCAAAACCACAGTATTCAGACATAAATGAGATTTAATCCATTTGCCTATAATTTATTTGCTGTAAAAGAAACACCACATTACATGCTTTTGTTTGTGTGTTAAGTAGAAGATATGCTATTATTTCCCAGATACCAGGGACTGAATGTTTAATTATCAACACCCATTTGAAAAAAGACATTGCTTTGACTCACAAATAAATTCTTAATTGCTAACAGTGGCTTTTCTGAGTTAGGAGTGTGGTATCTAATTTATTTTTGCAGATGTGATTTAGAGACTGAATTTTCAAATAGCAAAGCTTTGAATATCTTCCCTGTCAGCAGAAAATTCCTCCACCCCTGCAGCTGGAGAATATTGCTGCTTGAAGTTTTAACCGGGAAAGTAAAAACTGCAGTGAGGAAATTGATACAACTGGTAAATGCTGCTTACAAACTGAAAAAGAAGTTAGGTTGTCAGCAATAAGAGAAGTATATTATTCACACAAAATATGTGATGTCATCTTCATCATGGTAACTTGCTGGGAGTGGAAATTAACTTGGTGGGTTCCAACTTGAGGAACCTAAAGAAAAGCAAACATCTCGCAGATCAGAGCACCTTTGCAAAGGACCAGAAACTGAAATCAGGGGAACCACAGCTGAGCTCCTCCTTGAGGAGAAAAGAAGTGAAGCGCATGTCAAGAACAGTAACCAAGGTTCACTTCCAAGCAGGTTCGCTCATCACTGAAAAACAAAGTCAAGGTTATATTTTCAGAAAGGTCCGCTAGTTTAAAATGCCCCTTTCCTTCTGGTACTTGTCATCATCCACACATTACTGAGGCAGAATGAGTAAGAGAAAAGATTATGTGTTTTAATTACAACTCAATTAGGAAGTCAACAGTACATAAAAATGCCTACCTGTTTGGCTGAGCTGAGAAGCACTGCGGCTCTTCCGGGAAAGACCAACGATAGCTACCATTTTGGCCCCAATGCTAGAGCGTCGCTTTTTGCTGCTGGTGCCCAAGGCCCCCACTGCGGTGTCCGACTGGCTGCCATCATTCTTCTCCAGCGAGCACATGTCTCCGCTGATGCTGGTGCTCTTGGTCATGTTCTTCCCTGAGATGCCCATTTGTCTGCTTTGCATTTTGGATGTAAAGACACTGTAGGCCCATGGATTGTTAAAAGTGATGGCAAGAGCAAAAAGGAAAAGACAGAAAAGGGTATTTTAGATGAAATATCTGGAGTATAATTCAGTTATATCATTAATGGGGCATGCTTTTAGGATTTAAAATTTTTCAAACACCTTGGTTTTGAATGGGTTTTATTATTCAGGGCCAACCTTAACATAAGTATCCAAAATCAGACATGTTTTCATTTCTGCTTTCAAAGAAGACACTGGTTTGCATGGCCACAGTGGGGAGAAAAAAAAGATTTGTGAAAAATAAGTGGGCTCATTTAAGAGAATATGCTGTCTTATGAGTACAATATGCTTTAAGACAGTCATATAACAGAAAACAAACAAACAAAAAGAAGTTTCCAAACCATTTTTCTCTAATTCGCTTTACTATAGCCATCAAAGAGAAATTCTATGACGGGAAATTTTACAAAAAAATGGCAAAAATGACAGCATCTACTGCTGCGTGGCTGTTTAATTTTCTCATTATATTAATAAGATTTTCCTAAACCTTGTTAAATTTTCTAACAGGGATTGATGTTTTCATTTGTTTTGAATTAAAAATAATTTATTTCACTTTACATTTTCATATTTATTGATATGTCTATATTCCAAAAAGGAAGGAAAAATTTTCCCCTTGTATTCATTTGAAAGAAAGAAAAGTCATTAGCAGTTTTCTATACAATATGGTCAGAAGGCAATAATTTTTAAACACTTTTTTTCCTTTATCCAGAGTAATATCTACTAAAAGGTAAGGATTAGGAATCAAACTTGGGCACGCCTGGCATGGAGTCCTAACCACTGGACTGCCAGGGAATACCTAACATGTTAGTTTTATTAACCTATGTTCATTTTCTCCAAGTATTTAAGAGGGAAAAGACTCAGTGTGAATTTTTTAAAAAGACAGTAAAGTGTACTATTTTATCATTCATATTAGTTTCAAGAAGAAATGAAGCATAAACAGACCAAGAGATAGCAAGAAAGGAGACAGTGTATATACTTCTATGGTGACACAAATTAATCATTTTCAAGTTTGTTTGATTTTGCTATTTTTCAATAAGCAACTATAGAATAAAGTAGAAAAAGTTTGGAAACAGATGGGGGCTTCAATCCCAGGTTTACTGCTACTTAACTGACTTCCTTCAGAAAGTTTATTGCTTCTACTTGATCCTCAGGGTCCTCATTTATAAGAGAATATTTCACTGTAGCTTCTTATTTTAAAGAGTAGACATAATAAGATTAAAATAAATATTCAATAAATAGAAATGACAGCAATTAGGGAATATAGGCAAGACATAAAATAAGGCTAAAGCCCTTCAACATACATAATGTAAATACTTAAAAGCATCAAAAAATAATCTTTATAAATTTTAAGATTTCTGAGATTCAAGTGTCTAAAATGGTTTTCATATAGCCAGCGTCATGTGGCTAAATGCAGGGTGGACTACACTGGGAGTCAGGAAATCTGGATATGAATTTTGGCTTTACTGACTAATCTTATGAGAGTTGTTTCCCTTTCTGGAACTAAACTTCCTCAGTTAATAAATGAGAAAACTTAAATAAAGCACTAAGCATAGTAGGAGACACATAAGAGCTCCAAAAATTATTCTCTTCCTCCTTCTTATTATTATCTCCACCACCACTACCACCAGCATCATCCATTAAGCATCAATTAAACATGTCGAACTGGAATATCTATAAGGTCCCCTTTAATGATGAAACACTTTGCTCCCAGAGTATATCTTGCTTCATGGGTTCTGGGCAAATGAACATAGAAATACAACATGATTTTATGGTATGCTATCATCAGAAAAGGCATGGCATAGTCTAGAAAAGTCAAAGTTCAGTCGAGACTAAGGCTTTCAAAATAATATATGTTCCATAGTCACAATAACTAGTACTCTTGTTTTGTAGGAACTTTTAACCCAAGCATACTTTTCTAAAAGAACCACCTACTACATACCAAGGAAGTTAAAGATATACTCTCAAAAATTATACCTTGTGACTTTTGCATTTTAATTCTCATGGTTGGATATTAGGGCATAAAGAACTTAGCCAAAATCAATCAGGATATAATAAAATACTAACTGACAAGATAAATAAGTTTATAGATAAATGTTTTACTGACTATTTGGTTTTAAAGAAATGCACTTCTCTTCAATCTAACACCTTTGATAATGCATTATCTACAAGAAGGGTTATTAAAAGTTTTGTAAGATGGACCTACTTCTCATCTCCTTAAAACAGAGATCATCAGGATGAGTTTGAGTAGCTGCTCTTCAGAGCCATGTTTTGAAGGGAGGGTGACTGAGTCTAGGGTACCACTATTGGTTTCTTTTACTTTCCTCACTTGGCCATCACCTTAAACTATAAGCAAACAATACTGCAAGCAAACACGCTATCAACCAACATATTAAAAGTCTTGTCACTCTTCACTTATAGAATACTTTGTAGTAAAGAATCTGTAAACATGGGTGATCATTTGGAATACTTAGTGGTTAAGAAAATACAGACCCTATCATTATATTATTACTTTAAAAGAGAACATCTGTAAGGGTCTGGTAACAAGGTAAATTACCAATGTTGCTGGTGGGAGTATCAGAGATATATATCTCTGAAAGGCAATATGACAAAATGTATCAAAAGCATTTAAAAAACATGCCTATCCTTTAACCTATCAATATTACTTTCAGGATTTAGCCTAAGGGAAAACAGTAATGATCACAGATTTAGCAAGAATAATATTTATTGCAGAATTGATTGTAGTAGTAAAACACATATACACACATGGCAAAACCCCCAGAAATGTCCAGTGGTAGAGGATGTTTAAAGGTCATGTTCATCAATAAAATAGAATGTACCTTTGAAAATGCTGTTGTAAATAACATTTATTTACGTAAAATATGTTCTTGATATGGGAGAAAGGGCAAGAGAAAGCAGATATCTGCAGCTTAGCTTTGGCTGGCACATATACCAAACATGGATGCACTCTACCACTAGGGCACACAAGCAAATTCAAATCCCAGAGTGATAGTGTCACAAACAGAAAAGAAAATAAAAGAAATTTATATAAATAGAAATAAACATCTCTTGCTAAACTGGGTAGTTCAGGAAACCTAGATTCATAGATGACTCATTAGCTACCTGCACTAGAGGAATAAAGGGAATGTAAAGAAAAATAAAATATGTTTCGGATGTTTATGTTCTTGGGAAAAGAATTACAAATGTATATAGCAAGAAATCTAAAGGATGTACTGTAAACAGTGTAAAGTGGTTTTAATTTTCTCTGGTTGGTATTATGCTTTTTTAAAATATTCTTTTTTTTTCTATTTTGTTTTTTCCAAAATGAACATAAAGTTATCGGCAACCAGAAAAGAAAATTAAAACAATTGGACAAATGAAAAAAAGCAATGAAGGACCAAAACAATTCAATATGCATAGTTCATTCCACAGGCTAAAGGTATAGCATGACTTTCAAGCTAATTCCATAAGATTACTACACACTAATATTGGGCACTGATACAGGATGCTCAATTCCAGAAAGAAACAGGGTTTCACATTCTGAATATGGTCTTATGCATTTTTCTGATTTTTGGCACTGGAAAATAATGAAAAAGTTTATATATGTAGTAGTCTTGAAATATGAAAATTGCCAGTTTTATGACATACTTTATGACATAGTTATAGTTGTTTAAAGTTGTATGCTGAAAGATTTTTTAAAGGGCAAATCTCGTATCACCTATCATTAGGAAAAAGATAATGAAAGACGGTGAAATACTTATAAATAGTCTCTAAAGACTTAATTAGCATATTTAAGGGATTATAGTAGTTAGTGATTAAACAAAATGTTTATAGGCCAAAAGTATTCAATAATAGGTTTGATTGAATACAGCTATGTAGTCTGACTGTTAAGACAACCAGCAAACACAGGACAAAGATAAACTCTTGAGTTTGTGAGAATACAAACAGAAGAGTAACACTGTAAATAAAATACACAGTTATGAAAAAATACTTCATCATACTGAGAGGTGGGAAGGTGATCAGGAGAGAACCTGCCCAAGGAATTAGAGACAGGAATGACTGGAATTGTTATGAATGAAGTAGAGAGGGCCTACCAGCTCGCAGAATGGAGTGTGAAAACTGCAGCGCAGCAGCAGAAAAGACACTTGAATGGGACTGTTTATAACATCTTAGGCTAGGAAGTGGTGCTAAGGAAGGCTCGGAGGACGGAAAAGTTAGAAGACAACAGGAATAATGATAAGAGTAGGAAAAAACGACCCACAGAGATGAGCCAAAATCCCAAACATTATGCCACCTTGAAAGTCCTAATTCTCTTTCCTTCCCATTCCTGTATTCTTGGAGGCATGTGCCAAGAGCTAACTGAATACCTATCACTATACCTCAGACTCGACTGCTCCCGCTGTGAGTCACTGAGTGGATATCTGGCTTTGGAGTGCCATTTATTGATTCTGGCATATACCTTGTGGGGAGGGGGAAAGGAGGATAATAAACCCTGCTAAAACCCTGCTCTTCACCTCATCAAATATTTTCTCTGTATTAAATATTATTTCCTTCCTAAAATGTGGAATTCAAAATGATTATGATCTTACATTATAATTTGACAAACAATATTTTGTTTACTCAAATGACCATCTATAATAAAGGCTAGTAAAATAGTAACCATTATTCAAATGTTTATTGCATATATATCCCCACAAATGCAGGGATACAAGAATGGTATTACATAGGCTCTTTTAATTAATGTACTGGCAAATATATCAGCATGTAAAATGCAAATATGGCTGCATGAGAACATTTAGAATTAAGAGTCCAATGACCAGTTCTAATGTCATTAAACCTTAATTAAGTTAGATAATAAAGAAAAGACCTCTCTCTGAAGAGTATAAAAAAACTGAGTTCTTCATGCTAAATCTTTGATTCCTGGAGATGTCCAGAATTTAAACATTTGGTATTTTTAACAATACT